TAAAATAAAAGCACTTTGACATGCGTGAGATCATTTCAAGCCTCGTTATATTATTCATAGATGGTTGATATCGCAGCTTGGGCGTCAGCAGCGCGGCCCACAACGCGTCGGCGCCAGCGCACGCAGCTGTTGGCACTCGGCAGCCGGTGTTGCGACTTAACGGCCGGCCGGCTCCATGAAGGAGAAGCTCTTGGTGAAGCTTTGTGATCGCCTCATAGCCGCCTTGGATGTCATCTTTCTTGGCAGATCCATCCGTTCAGATGGTACGGTGCAGTCTGGATAAAGGACGAAGTCCAACGCCGCTAACCCCGCGACCGCCACCCCACAACACGGCGTGAGGGCCGTAAGGGCCACCCCGCCATCCGGTAGGTGGCTGAGCAGCCGGGCGCAGCGGCGCCTGGGCGGCGGCCGCGCTGAGATGAAGTCCCAAACCGCCATGTCGCCATCACCGCCATCACCATTGCTGCAGCTGTTCCCAACCGCCTCAATCGCCGCCGTTTTGCCAGCAGTCGCGCCGCGGAATGGCAGAAGCTCCAGAGTAGCCTCCAGCGCCCCTCTCCGCACGTGTGCAGGTGCACTGCGGCCGCCGGGTCCGACGTCCAGGCAGAACATGATATTTCCATGCTGCTCCGACGGTGGGCTGGTCTTGTTTGGGCGTTCCTCCACTGTGACGTCGGTCACGCCTGCCCCGGCCAGGGCGCAGAGGCCGACGTGTCACCATCCGGTTGCAGTCCTCAGTCGGGTCGCAACGTGTACCTCTTCCGCAGCGTGGAGCGCGCTCCCGCTGGGCAGCGATACAGCCAAAAGTAGCATAGCATGCGGGCGGCCAGCGCTGCGCCGGACAGCGGACCCATGCCGGGGGTATGCCGGTCTCGGCCATTAGCGGGGTCGTCGGGGCTGAGGCTGTACATACAGCTGGTGACCGCGTGAGCCGCCAATCGAAGCTCACGGCTTATAAGCTCGACGCGGGCATCACACGCCGTCCCGATGGGAGCTCCACGACGCCGCCGCGAACTCCAGCGCGGCTCGCAGCGCGAAGACCAGTACGGACGGCCGGGGCAAACGGCGTGCGGGAGTCGCAGGCGACGTTCTGCGGACAGAAAGGGTTGGGCATAAGCTGGTCGGCAGGACACTCTTGAGCCGAGCCTTTGATGTAATTACAGATGATCCAGAAGCATGCACAAAAATTCATGACACACTATTCTCATTTATGTATTTGCTACATATGATATGATATACCAGCTCATGATCAGTGACGCATTCTGGGCAATATGTTCTAAAGTGAAGTAACTGAAGTTACAGCTTAACCCGCGCACCGACGGGGGTCTGCGCCAACTTAGTACCGACGGGGGGGGGGGGCGGATGACCGCCCCCCCCTGAGATCTCGAGAACGAAGCAAGATAGCGACAAGCGGTAAACGGCATCGGATACGCACGGTCAAGATCTACAATTTTTACTAAGGTCATTTTCAGGTCAGGTCAAAGATGACGTCACAGGGGTCGAAAAAGTCAAAATGGCGGCGCTAAATATGGAGAGAGTTTTTCTCGAATAACTTTCGAATTAGTCAAGATAGGAACAAACTAAGGGCATCATCGTGATCCTCTCGTCAATCCGCATCGAATGATATATATGTTGACCTCGAAAGGTCAAGGTCAAAGGTTGACCTCAGGTCACGTGACCTCGAGGTCATCATGTATATCATTCGATGCGTCTTGACGAGCTGAACACAATGAGACCATCCACGCGTCTGTATCTTGTTCCTGTACGGAGTTATTGGCCAAAAACCTTTGGTGACCTTTGATGACGTCACATGACCTCACAGCTGCCCAACAGCAAAACAGACCTCAAGGTAGTGAAGGTTGATCGTATATGAAGTCATGTATGGTATATGGGGCCATTCCGACCCGTTTTAGTGGTAAAAACAGGGAGTTGATTTTTCCCCCATTGACTTATAATGGGGAGGTCGCGAAATTGACCTGACCTTAGGTCACCGATATCAAAATTCCGAGATATACAAATTGTAGCTACTAATGACCTAATAACATCCTGCGACTTTCAAAGGCCTCCGACATCTACTGTAGCTCTGGCACGGTGACAAAGTTGCAAAAAAGTGACTTGAGGTTGGGTCATTCAAAGTGACCTGGTGACCTGACCTTGAAAGGTAAGAGGTTCAAACTTGCACACCATGTGTAAAATTGATAAGGGAATAGTCATACCAAATTTCGCGGCGCTACGCGCCGCGGTTTTCCCGCTATTCGCGAAAAACCTCAGGGGGGGGGCGGATATCCGCCCCCCCCCCGTCGGTGCGCGGGTTAAAAGCTTAAAAAACAGCTTAAAAAAACACACACACACATTCGATAGCTTATGAGAATAACATGCCTTGTGTGCTTAATGCAGGAAAATATTTTTTTTCACTTTTTTAGAAACAGCAAAAGAGTTGTCAACAAGCCATGTCAACTATCTAAACAATTTTTATGGAAACTGCTCTAGCTAGCTTAAAGTTCCACAACGTTTCCGGAGCACCATACCCAAACTCAGTTCATGTTACAAGAAAAAACAGTAATAATGCCTCCTAATTTTGAATGAAATATAGGTATGAGTAATTTGATTTGGAAAGCAACAAATTTCCGCACATCATTTTAGCAAAATTACTATTTTCTTCAGCCATCAGGTTACACAAAACTATAGTAAACTTTATGATCTAGTTTACACAAAACCAAAGCCCCGATTTTAACAAATGTAGATAAAATTTAAACAATTTTAAAAAATGTATCGTGGAGAAAATGAAAAGTGTAGATTTGTAAAGCCGGGATATTTCAATTTCACGGATTAGGCACTTAAAGAAATATCTTCACCTTTCTTTGAGCCACCAGCCTTCACCCAAGTTTTACACGAATGTAGTGAAGCAGACAATGTGGCAACTCAAAATTGTGATGGTTTGAGATAATTATGACGGTAAAAGAAAAAGCAACACAAGGTTCCTTACCCTCGTTTTTTTCACATGGGTTCAGATGAGGCTTCAACTGTTGCCGACCTGAGGAGCTATAGGGACTTGAGCTTTCCAAAACTCAATTTCTAAGGGCACTGAGCAGTGTTTGGCTTTCACACGAATGCGATAGTAAGTTATATGAAGTTGACAAAGCAAGCAAAGCAAAGCATGATGCCCCGCGCGTCCGCCCGCGACCACGCCCCGCGTCCGACTCCCGACCGCCGCGTGACCCGAGGCGCCCGGCGGTCACGTGACCTACCGGCCGGGACTGCAAACGGCCCTCACCACCATTCTTGTATGACGTCATATCCTACTGAGGTGCTGATTGGTCGGAATTAGATACCTGAAGGTAATTATCTGCCGTAGTTATTTTTGTTTCATTGTTTTGCGTGTTTTCTTATATGAAATGTAATTGAAAAATTTGTCATATTTTAATCACCATTAAAACATAACTGAATAGGTATAAAAGAGAACTCGATATATACTTTCCTTGTTTTTAAGAATTCCGGAATTAGATACCCGAGGGAGCAAAGAGGGAGCAAGTTGCCACGCTGATTTAATACCTCATAGTCGAAAGGTGGGCTACTAGAACCAAAAATTGCTGTGTTTGTAAATAAATAAGTGATTTGAGGGCAAAAAATGCCCGGATTTAAACTTCTAAAATTATTTTGAACATAAAATATTTCAGTTTGAGGGATGTTAAGGCCTCTAAGGGAAGGTACTTTTTAGGTATCAAATAAGTTCCTCTGCGAAAGTTCCGTCGTGAAAACGGCCAATGTGTTATAAGTCGGCAAAGCAGGTATATAAGCAATTAGCGCAACTCTAGCTGATAGCTACTAAGAAACACATTGAACCATGATTTAACCTATGATTGAATGATTGAATGATTGAATTGAATGATTGGACCTAGCTTGACCAAGTCTACATAGTTCTACATCAAATCTGCACCAAATGTGCACCTAATGTGTACCAGATAGCTGTCGAGAAAACGGCGAGTATAAATTCTGTAGATACGCGCGATCAATGTGTTCATTATCTATATAGAGGCGTCATAAAGGCGCTAAAACAAAGGGAGCGTTATTACATCAAGTCTTATATAAGCTGGGGCCAAAGTATGGGATGTGGTCACCAAAAATAAAAGCAAGCAGGCGTGACTAAGCATTGACGAGTCGTCAAGAACTTGACAGTCAAGTACCTGAAATGTACCCAAGGTAGACTATCGTACCATACCCTCACATGGCAGACAGTGGGCTCAGAAGAGGCCTTGACCTTTGCTACTTCGCTATACGGTTAATTGAAACTTTTCAAATTAGGTTGGCGGGACACAAATGAAAATGAAAAATATACGTATTTATGACCATGGGCCTCTTATATGATATACATACAGACACCATGGTGATTGGTGAATGCATACATATAGTCCCAAATGATACGGACAGTTGACATACTAAATTATCCCGAAACCTGCCAAGGGGAGAGACGGAGAGGAGATCGATGTCCCTCCATAATGTTTTTCGCTAACGACGGACGTAAGCGCCGTAGGCGATGATTGACGTGCACAGGTAGAAGGTTGTTGCGGTACTTATTTTGGTTAACAATAGCCGTTTTCACCAAGATTATTTTACTTATCACGACGGGCTATCTGGTGAGTGCGCCTTATTTGACCAAATCTGCACCTAATCTCTTTTACAGCAAATATTTTTATTTTATGAATTTATATAAGCCCTTTAATAACAACCGAATACCTAATAGCCGTTTTCACGACGGCCATCTGGTACACATTTGGTGCACAGCTGGTGCAGATTAGGTGCAGATTTGGTCAAATTAGGTTCCGTGTGTCTCTTAGCAGCTATCAGCTAGGGTTGCACTAATTGCTTATATGCCTGCTTTGTCATATTATCAGAGAGTATCATCGATTAAAACACTGAAATAAATTCATAAAATAAAGATATTTGGTGTAAAAGAGATTAGGTGCAGATTTGGTCAAATAAGGTGCACTCACCAGATAGCCCGTCGTGAAAACGGCTATTGTTAACCAAAATAAGTACCGCAACAACCTTCACGGCATGTTCGCGCTGCACAAACTTGGATAAAGCTCGAGTGTTCTTTATCGAATTATCCGCGCTCTGGGTGTGCATTATTAATGTTCATGGGTGGGTAATAGGCCGGCCACAGGAGCGTCTGTGTCGGCGGCATCACCTCAGTAGCCCACGCGCCGCCCGGGGACCAGTCCATTGATTTACACCCGCGCAGGCGCGGTCGGTTTGTTGATGCCGGGACCACGGCATTCCTGTTCGAGCAGCGCTCGTGGACGGCGTGCGGGTGGAGGGTTTCGCTGTGGAACGGCCGAGCGTGGACAAATCCGGCGGCTGACTGTGGAATTTAGACGGACGGTAGAATTTAGATAGACGGTGGAGGTTAGACGGTGGACGCCGGGTGAAACGTTGGGAGCTAAACGGTTGGTAGACGTGAGTGACGCTGTGAGCAGCGGATAGTGAAAAGGGTGTGTGTGAGCCAGGTGGACAACACATCTCTCAGGCACCGTTTGGCGGACGGTGAACTGACCTCTGACGCGGCGGTCGCGCGGGATGGATGTGAGTCACACGGCGCCGAGACCAGCCGGCTAAGATGGGTGTCATCACGGAGCGGGTCTCCCGCAGCCGCAGCGGGGACCGCACCAAGCCCGGCTCGCGCGGCTCCACCGGAGACAGGGTGCGCCGCTCGGCCACCTTCAGCGGCGAGAGCACGCTGCCCGGGTCACGCGGCAGGTGAGCGCTAGTCGGCAGGCCGCGCAGGACGGCGAATGTGCAAACTTTGACTGTCTGACGGGGAAAGGGTGAAATACTTGAATCACGAATCATTGTTTGCACTATAATATTCAAACATACCTAAAAGCAATTATGTTCGGCATGCGCTGGTTAAACGACACATGATTTTCGCTCCTTACACTTCTTAAAAACTGTATATTCATTTAAAAAAATGACTTATTCGGAGAATGATTACAAAAAAGAAAACGAAATCCGTTTATAGAAGTTTGGTTCTATTTTTATATGCTTCAGGTCTAAGGATTTGGAGAATATGAGACGCATTTTTAATTTCCCCGTTGATTTTGGTGTTTTATTAGTGTTCTATATTTGTTGATGAAATTCAGTACAGCGTTGACTGGCCACTAAGTAACAAGCTGGTGAAGTTAATTTAAACGTTAATTAACCTGTGACTTTTTTAAAAAGAAAAGAAATTAGGCATGGATTTTCTTTTACGGCTAATAAAAACGTGCCAGTTTTTAAGCAGTTAGCATTTTAAAGCAGATGAAATACCTGCCACGATCGATCTAAGCACGGGGGGAAAACCGTTCCGTCTTTTCCATCCTCAGGATAGTCAAATCCTTCTCTTCCACGCCCCAACCCCATGTCCGTGAAGTTAGCGTCAGCAAGAGCAACGAATACAGCGTCGGATTCAGAATCGCTTCAAAAAAGGCCATCAGGTCAATTGGGGGACGGGGAACACGAATATGACATTTATTTTGCCCTAGCTCCCTTCCTTCATCCCTTAATCGTCCCTTAAAGGACGGGGCGCGTCAAAAGTGCCCCAAGGCTTCGTCTGATCGCCAAAATAATGGTCGCAATCGATTCCTCGGGTCAATATCTAACCTCAGTCGAAGGTTCCAGACCTGTGGCTCCTATCCCTCATCCCTTAATCGTCCCTTAAAGGACGGGGCGCGTCAAAAGTGCCCCAAGGCTTCGTCTGATCGCCAAAATAAGGGTCGCAATCGATTCCTCGGGTCAATATCTAACCTCAGTCGAAGGGTCCAGACCTGTGGCTCCTATCCCTCATCCCTTAATCGTCCCTTAAAGGACGGGGCGCGTCAAAAGTGCCCCAAGGCTTCGTCTGATCGCCAAAATAAGGGTCGCAATCGATTCCTCGGGTCAATATCTAACCTCAGTCGAAGGTTCCAGACCTGTGGCTCCTATCCCTCATCCCTTAATCGTCCCTTAAAGGACGGGGCGCGTCAAAAGTGCCCCAAGGCTTCGTCTGATCGCCAAAATAAGGGTCGCAATCGATTCCTCGGGTCAATATCTAGCCTCAGTCGAAGGTTCCAGACCTGTGGCTCCTATCCCTCATCCCTTAATCGTCCCTTAAAGGACGGGCGCGTCAAAAGTGCCCCAAGGCTTCGTCTGATCGCCAAAATAATGGTCGCAATCGATTCCTCGGGTCAATATCTAACCTCAATCGAAGGTTCCAGACCTGTGGCTCCTATCCCTCATCCCTTAATCGTCCCTTAAAGGACGGGGCGCGTCAAAAGTGCCCCAAGGCTTCGTCTGATCGCCAAAATAACTGTCGCAATCGATTCCTCGGGTCAATATCTAGCCTCAGTCGAAGGTTCCAGACCTGTGGCTCCTATCCCTCATCCCTTAATCGTCCCTTAAAGGACGGGGCGCATCAAAAGTGCCCCAAGGCTTCGTCTGATCGCAAAAATAATGGTCGCAATCGATTCCTCGGGTCAATATCTAACCTCAGTCGAAGGTTCCAGACCTGTGGCTCCTATCCCTCATCCCTTAATCGTCCCTTAAAGGACGGGGCGCGTAAAAAGTGCCCCAAGGCTTCGTCTGATCGCCAAAATAAGGGTCGCAATCGATTCCTCGGGTCAATATCTAGCCTCAGTCGAAGGTTCCAGACCTGTGGCTCCTATTCCTCATCCCTTAATCGTCCCTTAAAGGACGGGGCGCGTCAAAAGTGCCCCAAGGCTTCATCTGATCGCCAAAATAATGGTCGCAATCGATTCCTCGGGTCAATATCTAGCCTCAGTCGAAGGTTCCAGACCTGTGGCTCCTATCTCTCATCCCTTAATCGTCCCTTAAAGGACGGGGCGCGTCAAAAGTGCCCCAAGGCTTCGTCTGATCGCAAAAATAATGGTCGCAATCGATTCCTCGGGTCAATATCTAGCCTCAGTCGAAGGTTCCAGACCTGTGGCTCCTATCCCTCATCCCTTAATCGTCCCTTAAAGGACGGGGCGCGTCAAAAGTGCCCCAAGGCTTCGTCTGATCGCCAAAATAATGGTCGCAATCGATTCCTCGGGTCAATATCTAACCTCAATCGAAGGTTCCAGACCTGTGGCTCCTATCCCTCATCCCTTAATCGTCCCTTAAAGGACGGGGCGCGTCAAAAGTGCCCCAAGGCTTCGTCTGATCGCCAAAATAAGGGTCGCAATCGATTCCTCGGGTCAATATCTAGCCTCAGTCGAAGGTTCCAGACCTGTGGCTCCTATCCCTCATCCCTCAATCGTCCCTTAAAGGACGGGGCGCGTCAAAAGTGCCCCAAGGCTTCGTCTGATCGCCAAAATAAGGGTCGCAATCGATTCCTCGGGTCAATATCTAACCTCAGTCGAAGGGTCCAGATCTGTGGCTCCTATCCCTCATCCCTTAATCGTCCCTTAAAGGACGGGGCGCGTCAAAAGTGCCCCAAGGCTTCGTCTGATCGCCAAAATAATGGTCGCAATCGATTCCTCGGGTCAATATCTAGCCTCAGTCGAAGGTTCCAGACCTGTGGCTCCTATCCCTCATCCCTTAATCGTCCCTTAAAGGACGGGGCGCGTCAAAAGTGCCCCAAGGCTTCGTTTGATCGCCAAAATAATGGTCGTAATCGATTCCTCGGGTCAATATCTAACCTCAGTCGAAGGTACCAGACCTGTGGCTCCTATCCCTCATCCCTTAATCGTCCCTTAAAGGACGGGGCGCGTCAAAAGTGCCCCAAGGCTTCGTCTGATCGCCAAAATAAGGGTCGCAATCGATTCCTCGGGTCAATATCTAGCCTCAGTCGAAGGTTCCAGACCTGTGGCTCCTATCCCTCATCCCTTAATCGTCCCTTAAAGGACGGGGCGCGTCAAAAGTGCCCCAAGGCTTCGTCTGATCGCCAAAATAAGGGTCGCAATCGATTCCTCGGGTCAATATCTAACCTCAGTCGAAGGGTCCAGACCTGTGGCTCCTATCCCTCATCCCTTAATCGTCCCTTAAAGGACGGGGCGCGTCAAAAGTGCCCAAGGCTTCGTCTGATCGCCAAAATAAGGGTCGCAATCGATTCCTCGGGTCAATATCTAACCTCAGTCGAAGGTTCCAGACCTGTGGATCCTATCTCTCATCCCTTAATCGTCCCTTAAAGGACGGGGCGCGTCAAAAGTGCCCCAAGGCTTCGTCTGATCGCCAAAATAAGGGTCGCAATTGATTCCTCGGGTCAATATCTAGCCTCAGTCGAAGGTTCCAGACCTGTGGCTCCTATCCCTCATCCCTTAATCGTCCTTTAAAGGACGGAGCGCGTCAAAAGTGCCCCAAGGCTTCGTCTGATCGCCAAAATAATGGTCGCAATCGATTCCTTGGGTCAATATCTAACCTCAATCGAAGGTTCCAGACCTGTGGCTCCTATCCCTCATCCCTTAATCGTCCCTTAAAGGACGGGGCGCGTCAAAAGTGCCCCAAGGCTTCGTCTGATCGCCAAAATAATGGTCGCAATCGATTCCTCGGGTCAATATCTAACCTCAGTCGAAGGGTCCAGACCTGTGGCTCCTATCCCTCATCCCTTAATCGTCCCTTAAAGGACGGGGCGCGTCAAAAGTGCCCCAAGGCTTCGTCTGATCGCCAAAATAAGGGTCGTAATCGATTCCTCGGGTCAATATCTAACCTCAGTCGAAGGTTCCAGACCTGTGGCTCCTATCCCTCATCCCTTAATCGTCCCTTAAAGGACGGGGCGCGTCAAAAGTGCCCCAAGGCTTCGTCTGATCGCCAAAATAATGGTCGCAATCGATTCCTTTTTGCACTTTTGACTCGATTCGCACTTTTGACGCGCCCCGTCCTTTAAGGGACGATTAAGGGATGAGGGATAGGAGCCACAGGTCTGGAACCTTCGACTGAGGCTAGATATTGACCCGAGGAATCGATTGCGACCATTATTTTGGCGATCAGACGAAGCCTTGGGGCACTTTTGACGCGCCCCGTCCTTTAAGGGACGATTAACGGATGAGGGATAGGAGCCACAGGTCTGGAACCTTCGACTGAGGCTAGATATTGACCCGAGGAATCGATTGCGACCATTATTTTGGCGATCAGACGAAGCCTTGGGGCACTTTTGACGCGCCCCGTCCTTTAAGGGACGATTAAGGGATGAGGGATAGGAGCCACAGGTCTGGAACCTTCGACTGAGGCTAGATATTGACCCGAGGAATCGATTGCGACCCTTATTTTGGCGATCAGACGAAGCCTTGGGGCACTTTTGACGCGCCCCGTCCTTTAAGGGACGATTAACGGATGAGGGATAGGAGCCACAGGTCTGGAACCTGCGATTGAGGCTAGATATTGACCCGAGGAATCGATTGCGACCCTTATTTTGGCGATCAGACGAAGCCTTGGGGCACTTTTGACGCGCCCCGTCCTTTAAGGGACGATTAAGGGATGAGGGATAGGAGCCACAGGTCTGGATTCTTCGACTGAGGCTAGATATTGACCCGAGGAATCGATTGCGACCATTATTTTGGCGATCAGACGAAGCCTTGGGGCACTTTTGACGCGCCCCGTCCTTTAAGGGACGATTAAGGGATGAGGGATAGGAGCCACAGGTCTGGAACCATCGACTGAGGCTAGATATTGACCCGAGGAATCGATTGCGACCATTATTTTGGCGATCAGACGAAGCCTTGGGGCACTTTTGACGCGCCCCGTCCTTTAAGGGACGATTAACGGATGAGGGATAGGAGCCACAGGTCTGGAACCTTCGACTGAGGCTAGATATTGACCCGAGGAATCGATTGCGACCATTATTTTGGCGATCAGACGAAGCCTTGGGGCACTTTTGACGCGCCCCGTCCTTTAAGGGACGATTAAGGGATGAGGGATAGGAGCCACAGGTCTGGAACCTTCGACTGAGGCTAGATATTGACCCGAGGAATCGATTGCGACCCTTATTTTGGCGATCAGACGAAGCCTTGGGGCACTTTTGACGCGCCCCGTCCTTTAAGGGACGATTAACGGATGAGGGATAGGAGCCACAGGTCTGGAACCTGCGATTGAGGCTAGATATTGACCCGAGGAATCGATTGCGACCCTTATTTTGGCGATCAGACGAAGCCTTGGGGCACTTTTGACGCGCCCCGTCCTTTAAGGGACGATTAAGGGATGAGGGATAGGAGCCACAGGTCTGGATTCTTCGACTGAGGCTAGATATTGACCCGAGGAATCGATTGCGACCATTATTTTGGCGATCAGACGAAGCCTTGGGGCACTTTTGACGCGCCCCGTCCTTTAAGGGACGATTAAGGGATGAGGGATAGGAGCCACAGGTCTGGAACCTTCGACTGAGGCTAGATATTGACCCGAGGAATCGATTGCGACCATTTTTTTGGCGATCAGACGAAGCCTTGGGGCACTTTTGACGCGCCCCGTCCTTTAAGGGACGATTAACGGATGAGGGATAGGAGCCACAGGTCTGGAACCTTCGACTGAGGCTAGATATTGACCCGAGGAATCGATTGCGACCATTATTTTGGCGATCAGACGAAGCCTTGGGGCACTTTTGACGCGCCCCGTCCTTTAAGGGACGATTAAGGGATGAGGGATAGGAGCCACAGGTCTGGAACCTTCGACTGAGGCTAGATATTGACCCGAGAAATCGATTGCGACCATTATTTTGGCGATCAGACGAAGCCTTGGGGCACTTTTGACGCGCCCCGTCCTTTAAGGGACGATTAAGGGATGAGGGATAGGAGCCACAGGTGTGGAACCCTAGACTGAGGCTAGATATTGACCCGAGGAATCGATTGCGACCATTATTTTGGCGATCAGACGAAGCCTTGGGGCACTTTTGACGCGCCCTGTCCTTTAAGGGACGATTAAGGGATGAGGGATAGGAGCCACAGGTCTGGAACCTTCGATTGAGGCTAGATATTGACCCGAGGAATCGATTGCGACCATTATTTTGGCGATCAGACGAAGCCTTCGGGCACTTTTGTCGCGCCCCGTCCTTTAAGGGACGATTAAGGGATGAGGGATAGGAGCCACAGGTCTGGAACCTTCCACTGAGGCTAGATATTGACCCAAGGAATCGATTGCGACCATTATTTTGGCGATCAGACGAAGCCTTGGGGCACTTTTGACGCGCCCCGTCCTTTAAGGGACGATTAAGGGATGAAGGAAGGGAGCTAGGGCAAAATAAATGTCATATTCGTGTTCCCCGTCCCCCAATTGACCTGATGGCACTTTTTGAAGCGATTCTGAATCCGACGCTGTATTCGTTGCTGTTGCTGACGCTAACTTCACGGACATCCCAACCCCCTGCTCCAGGCTGGACGGGCGACTTTATCCCATGCGGGAAGCTCCCGTAGGAGCACGCCCGTAGCCGGAGGCAGTCAGTGTTTTCAGCTGGGTGGCCCGTGCACTGGATGGACTCAGTCCCGACGACTCACTAAGGTGCCCGCCCAAACCAATGTCACCCCCTACTTTCCATCATCCTTCCGGCTCTGAAACGGTCTCCTCAGACCGAAAGAGCCTAACCCAACAAAACAAGCAAAGAAAGAAGCGCAGGGCAGTCTTGATCGATCATTTTATAGGCGAGTTAAAATGATGTTGCAGCTCGCCTTTTTGAGGTGTCGAGCTGACCCTACCAGACAGTTTGCTCGGAAAGATTTTGCGTCATCTTTTACGTGCATCATCTGATTTTATGTGTCATGCTGCGGTAAACGGGCGAAACGCATTTATCGACCGATGATGGACCACACCAGTCGCTTCCAGAATAAACTGGAGCTCATCGACTGCCGGAGCGATTAGCTCTCACATTCGCCCCAAAATGACAGTTGCATGCACGCATATATTGCTACGTGTCACGTGATCATTGCCTCATTATTGTTTGTGCGGTGTGCCATTAATTTAATTTACTAAATACTCGCATATTGATATAGTTTGTCACATAAAGCTGAAAGTGAATACAGTAGAATCCTCTTAATAAATCCTCGGATAATAAATCCAGCCGCTTATTGTGGGTACTTGAGCTGTTCACGGATTTCTCCATAGAAGTATTAATGACTCCGATTAATAAAACCACCGCTTAATAGATCCAAAACGCCGTGTCACCAAGGAAGATTTACTAAGAGAATTCTACTGTATCTGTTAAAATGAGACTGGCGTTTCTCATTTTGCACTATGTTCTGTGGTTAATATTTATTACGTTTTTCAGCAATCGCGGCAGTGCCAACTCCCTAAACAAGTCTCACAATGGCTCTCTGGGCAGCCTGGACGACTTTGACGACTGCGACAACATCAACGTGGTCGTCAGGTGGGTGTGTTTATACTGCCTGCAGATCCGTGACACAAAGTCGCTCCTGTCGAGCCCCTAATTACAGGGCAGCACTGCGTGAGCAGTTAGTTGGTTACTGCGCTAATGGAATCGGTCCACTCTCTCTGGCTACTCGTAAACGTGCGAACAGTCAACACCACCAGAAGGTTTCGGTTATTGAATATTTACCTAATTACCAGTTGTCGGTTTTCCCTGAATTGGGAAAACAAAGGCATTTGAAAAATAAAAGGAATTTATCGGCGCGATTTCAAAGTCACGCCTGTCTGAAATTGTTTGAATGTTCGCGGTTTTTTTTAATAAGGTAATGAAATTCAGCCCTACTCGTACACCAAATTGTTGAATAGATTTAGTTGAAACATAATTTCAGATGTCGCATGAAGTTTTCGGGGGCATTAAATATTTTTTATACAAGTTTAGTCCGAACCTTTTGATTGGAAGGATTCACCAGGACAGAGCCATCCGCTAAGTGAAGCTTGCTGTGTTGACCCTGCCCTCTACCCTCCGATCGCGCAATTCCGGTTCTAATGGCAGAACTTAGCGTCCAAAGTTTAACGTGCGCACAAAGCCGCGCACGGCCGGTCCCCTCACAGACGTCTCCTGGCTACGGCCTGCCACCAACCGCACCATACCTGTCAGGAGGCCCATAAATGTCAAGCGCCCGTCGCGCTTCGAATCCGGACTGTTGTAACCGGGAACGCGTGCTCTCACCAAGCGGAGTCCAACACTCTACCGACTGAGCAACGGGACCGGCTTTAAAAGTTTAAAAGCAAATTAAATCTAGTTTAAAAGCAAATTTATTGTTAAAATAGGCTGTGTAAAGGTTATTGATTCATATAAATCATAGATCATTACGGAAACACACAGTTTATTTTTTAATTATTAACTTTAGTTTAATTTTTAACACGTTTCAGGGATTATGGAATTAATCAAGGACAGGTATTTCAAAAGCCTCGTTATGCCCAGAACCGCATATTGGGTGCACTTGTGCCTACCTTTGCTTAAAGTTGTTATCTTCGGTATTGGTTTGGTAAATATGGTAAACAGTGCTATTTATTTCAGGGTACGGCCATTGAATGAGAAGGAACAAAATCGCGGCGAAGACAGCATCATCACCTTTCCCGGCCAGGGTCAGATGCTGGTAAGCGTCATCCTGCAGTTGGTAATCGATAGGTGGCCATTGACAATGGGTGCATAGGTTTGACTCCAACCTTCCGCCTGCCTATGGACCAACGAGTAATTAAATGTTAAGCTGCCTTAGAAGGTAGCATGTGCATAATTATAACCCTGATTTAAAATTGTCAACTATACATAGTTGAACGGGAACGGCTGCCTTTCCCACTATTGTGGTATACACTGGCCGCCGTTTGGATACTATCCCGCATAGCACATGAAAGCATTGCGGCACAGTCTAACTCCTCATGGAAATACGCCTGAGCCAGTACCTACTTTTGAGTTATGTAGTCTTGTGGGTAATGCGAAGTAGGAAGTGACGCAAGGGTCTTTTTACGTTGCTCATACCAGTTAGGTACATTGCTTTTATAATGACTGTATTTTAGGCCTATCATGTTCAAAAACACACCCTGTGCTGTTCATTGAATGGCATTAAATATGCAATTATCAATGCTTCACCTATGTAGTTGGTAACGAATTAAACTCTAACGGGTATATTTCGTTCGTTAATGAAGTTTGTGTAACGATCAACGAAATTAATGGTTAAATGTCGATGGCTGTGAGTGCTGACCTACTTTACAGCTCGACCAAGGCACCAACGCAAAGCCCAAATCGTTTACATATAACGTAATTCTGGGGACGGACGCGAATCAAGAGGACATGATAGAACGTTCAGGTAACGTGTAGGGACTCGTCCTGCCCATATCGAGGGTATCAGCCGCCGACAGACATTTAATGCAACATTTCCACGGGCTGTATGTACCTTATCTACTGAACAGTTCAACTCTCTGGGTGGCATTTTGCCTCAGATGACTGACAATAATTATTTCATTTCTGTCGAAATTCGAAAAATCCGGCCCGGCTGGTACCCTCGTGTGCTGCATGGGTGAATCCATTGTCACACGTGAAGCCCGCCCATCACACGGGGCACCCACCCGCGCCGCGTGCCACGTGCCACGTGCCGGGCCGTCTGACTGTGTGGCTGTGCGTCGTTTGCAGCTGGAGCCACAGGCGGAGAACATCAAGGCCAAACAGTTCCGGTTCAATATTCTATTTGAGCCGGAGGCCACTCAGGAGGACGTGCTCAGTCACTCGGGTTGGTAACTGCCGTCCCGTGGTTGTCCCCTATAGCCGTCCCTCCCCCGCTCTGTACATTAGCGCAGAGGTAGCATGTGGTCGGACCGGACCGGTCGCCGGCCGGCTGGCTAGGTGTGTTCGGTGGTCTGTCCGCCGTCCCTTGCTCGCTGTCTAACCCGACTCACTTGCTTTGGCCGGCTGTTCGCACTGCCCCGCTGACCTCTGAGAATCTCTGCAGGAGCTGGGAGCCGAGTCTCTGATATTCTCACTAACTGGTCCCCTGTCTTGCATTTCGTCGTGTACCATTTCAGTCTTATTGGCAGTCGCCTGCACTGTTACTAGACTGCAGGTCTGCAGAGAGTGACAGAATTATTCTTGAAATTTCTGTAATTTCCACAGTTTGTAGATCATAGTCAAGGATTGTTGACGTGTAGTGCTCTTTACACCATGAATCCTACTAACCAAGTTGTATTTTTGTACATATTCGTACACTGTTCTTTCAAGCGTAGTAGTTATGCACGGCTTTTCCAGATCCCTTATAACTAACAATACCGAAATTTGATCGTACGACCTTATTCTGCAAAACTTGACTCGTGTGTTATGTGTCTATAGTTACCGATTGACATGCGCTTATCTGAGTAGCAATGCCAAAGAAAAGTTCTCGCACATATGCTTAAACCGTATCGTTTCCTGTGTTACGTCGCAGTTTATTTAGCAGATTCAAAGGTTGACTTTGATATTACTGCAAGGTGCTTTTGCGATACAGGAGGATCAAAGAGCCCTATAGTCGAGTAAATATACTGCCTTAGTTGGGATGTTTTCTAATTTCTCTGTCTGTTTGTTGCCCCTGCAGTGTCAGCTTACGTCCTGGGTAATGACGTCACGCCACTGTTTGCTGACGTCACGGCCCAGCATGGTGCTGACCTTTGACCCGGACTGCCGCAGGCGCCAAACGGATGGTAGAGATGGCCGTGGAGGGCTACCCGTGCACAATATTCTGCTACGGTCAAACGGGCAGTGGGAAGACGCACACCCTGACCGGACCTCCTCATCTGGTGAGTGGGTCACCGCGTGTCAGGTCATTGAATGAGTCAGGTCACCGGGTGTGTCACTTGTCAGATCACTGAGTGAGTCAGGTCACCGAATGTCAGGTCACTGAATGCCAGGTCACCGAGTGAGTCACGTCACTGACCCTGAATACATAAGCAAGTAAATACTTATCACAAACGGATTTTTCCACTCGCTTAGCACTCCAATTCGTTTGTAATACGCATTTCCTCTGTTCATGTTTTCGGGGCCACCGGGTGCATCAGTTGAGTCACCACACAGTTTGCCGGGTCACCTTGCCGTGTGCTTGGTCACAGACGGGAATATGTCGGCTGCAGGATGCCACTGGAGCATGTTGTAGTGTGGACTTGAGGGCATAGTCGATTTTACAATCCAAGAGCGCAATTGGGAATAGGAAAGTCCGTTATAAAATAGGAAAGTCCGTTGTAAGATAGGAAAGTCCGTTATCGCTGATGTAATATGCATGCGCTTTGTTGGCTACTCCCGATTGAAGATATTATTATTTAATGTATATTTTAGATTTTTTAAATTTTACCTTTAGCATGGGTTCGACAGCAATATCGGTCCTACGGAACCCGCGTTATAAAATGCGCTGATTTCCTATCGTGAATCTACGGATTCTCCATACTTAGTCTGAGATATTCAGACTTGTAGTAGGGTTCCTAATTTTTTGCTCCATAGCTTGTGACATGTTCTTTAAGAACAGGCCGTGCTACTGAGCATCGCGAGTGTGTGCGGTGCATATTGATTTTATCGATTGGTGCTGGAAGGAAGGGGTGGCGTGTTGCTTGTGTGACGAATGCGTTTGAGTCACGAATGAAATTTATGCATTTTCCTTTGTCCGTAGAGCTTGCGTGTAACACGATACCATCTTTTGTTATCTTATATGGTGTTCACTTATCACTTCTTAACGACTTGAACATAATGTGTTAGCGTTTCACTTGCCTTATTATTCTAATTCATTGCCTGCAATCACCGCACAAAGTCCATTCAACTCGGTTTCTGTACAGATTGATAAGCAATCAGTGTTTATTCCCATCCCGATGACAGTCGCGCTACTTAACCTTATCTTGTTCTTGGTCCCAACAGTTTTACAACAAAGCTTACAACCGCAAATGGAAGCCGGAGGTGCGTCAAGTTACTTGTTCTATCCACTTTTCCAGAGCGCTTTCCCAGTGCGTTCCCTGCTTCGTTATATTGAAGTTGCGGCAATGTTTATACGTTCAAGGGCTGCATTCTCCTCGCCAGACCTAAAATACCCTTCTTGGCTTCCTGTGCCCGCGCCTGACACCCATTCGCATTCAGCCATGTTTCGTGTAGTCATACATGGACATAAATTCGGTTCGTGGAACTTCAACTGATCTATGTTGTTGTGGATATGCATAGCACCATGGCGCATCTGATAAAAAAAAAAACTATGTAGGTATGCCTAAACATCTTTAGGTATACCCCATGATAGCCTTTACCGCACCACCTGAAGAGAGCTTGGCAGATTGCGAACATAAACAGCAAAAGGATCATCAGGCGAGCTACGATTTTGTGGTAGACTATTCGTGACACTCGGCCCGATTCCATTTTCAACTCGCGATATATCATAGCATTTATCGCATGTTGCATGCTTAACGCATGGTTTACTTCATGCAATAGCCTAGAAATGCTTACTTTGCTTTTAACTCGTGCCATGACCTGTATTCACCTTGCCTACAGTTTCTTCTATGATGTGTCTTTTCAAATATACATAGTGTGCCTTTAGCTGTCACCTTGATAATACATATGCGACGAAGTCGTGCTTCGCCAGAGACTTCCGATCATCACTGACGCGGCCGTGCAAACTATATTTGGAAATTTTGTTTACTTTAGGCAAACAGTGGTCCTGAATAATAACGTTATGACTGCATGCAACATGATGGCATGTTTGAATTAAGGCTTAAGCTTGGCTCAGACGTAATCGCTTGACGCGACGCACGAAGTCAAGGTAGCGTCCTTGGCAGGATAATACGACCCGTAAATTCAGGCCAAGTACCTGCAGGTATAGCGTCTGATAGTCGTGGCTCAGTCGCTGGTCTACAATTGTTGTACTATAGCTAAAATAATTACCTAATACCTATTTGCACGAGGTGATCGATGTTTTAAACGTTAAATGGGGTACTTATTCCATGGAATAGGCGATTATTTTCATCTTATTCTCATAGATTATCACGCGCGCTTATACGTTATTATTCAGTACGCATAACATGCGGACGGCTGACGTCGCTTCCTGCAGCATTTTGCGTGCACTGGAAGATCCGTCCTTTGGGAACATAACTGCACGCAGCATAACACGGCACCGACACCAAAGACAGGTACCTACTTCGGTTGTTGGTTAATGGTCAGGTGTTCATTACGCTTCCATGACAAAATATCGAAACGCAAAATATCGAAGCGCAAAATATCGAACGCAAATTATCGAAAGCAAAATATCGAAGTCGCAAATTATCGAAATCGCAAAATATCGAAATCGCAAAATATCGAATTGCAAAATATCGAAATCGCAAAATATCGAAATCGCAAAATATCGAATCGCAAAATATCGAATTGCAAAATATCGAAATCGCAAAATATCGAATAGCATAATATCGAAAGCAATATATCGAAACGCAAACTATCGAAACGCAAAATATCGAAACGCAAAATATCGAAAGACAAAATATCGAAAGACAAAATATTGAAAGACAAAATATCGAACGCAGAATATCGAAAAGGCAAAATATCGAACGCAAAATATCGAACAGACAAAATATCGAACGCAAAATATCGAAAAGGCAAAATATCGAACGCAAAATATGGAAAAGGCAAAATATCGAACGCAAAATCTCGAAAAGACAAAATAACGAACGCAAAGTGTCGAAAAGGTAAAATATCGACTTGAAATGACCCTCTGCGGACTCCTTAGAGCTCTGTCGAACTCATCGGGCCCTCTGTTATCTGTAGGCCGCAAAGAGCAATCAGCGGGTCCATGACAGACTTGGAAAACTCTGATATTTTTTATAGATCTCAGCAGTGGCGGCGGAAGGTAATTTCGGATGGGGTGCAAAGTTTTCTCAAGGGGCCCCTCTGGAAGTTTCGCCCCCCCCCCCGATATTTTTTAGAGTGATTATCATTGCTTTATGAAAAACGAAGATTTTGGAAAACCATCCCCAAACACACAATTTCTGCAAAATATTTGAAATTACAGTGTACCTATCTCAAATAAAGCATAACGAAGCAAATGCAGCTAGTTTTTATCATCTAATCTTGTTTTAGTCTAGCCACCACCCTCAGCATCTCAACCCACTTTTCTGGATCCGCAGTGGACCATTAAAGGCCCTACGAGACCGTTCTTAGAAGACCGTGTTTAAAAGCCCCTTGGAAACCGACCCCTTAGAGGCTCCTCCAGAGACCTACATGACTCCCCAGACCGAATGAGCCCTCCGACCAGGGTCGGTCCCTCAGAAGTTGCTGAAGGGTTTCAGAAAGCAGTATACTCGTAGGCTCGAAAGGCTTTTGATGGCTCTCAGAGACTGACATCGGACCCAAAAAAGCCTGTATGGAGACCCTCCAAAGCCGGGATGGCCACCAGGAGCCGATGTTTAGCCTAAAGAGCCAGTATGGAAGACTGAATAGAGGAAAGGACTAGGAGTCTCAGTGGGGCCTTCAGGAGCAAGCGTTTGGGGCCCCAAAAGTATGTGTGGGGTCTTAGAGGCAGGTAGGCCCCTGGAGCGCGCACGGGGTGGGACCCCGTGCGCTAGCGAGGTGGGAGCTAGCGTGTGAGCCCAAATATTCGACTGGCGGCTACTAGAACCTGCATGGGGATTCTTAGAAGCCGCTTAGACCCATATATAATGAGTCATGAGTCCCAAGAGTCGATGTAGGGGCCCTAAAAGCCGGTGTAGGGCCCATGACCCCATAAGTTCCGGCGTTGGGACTCTCAGAGGCCGGCGAAAGGGGAACCAAGAGCGGATAAAGTGATTCAACAAGCCGACATTTGGCCTGAGAATCAGTGTGGAATTCCAGGAGTCTGCATGAGCTCTCGGAGACCTTCGTAGGGCCCACAAAGGTCGTTCTGAGTGCCCTCTGAATCTGAACTCTTTGCGGAGCCCTTAGAGGCCAGCATGTCCCCTGACACCTGCCTGCGTTGATTTGAGACCCTCCAAGACCCTCCGAAAACTCTGGGTTGAATCCGTCTATGCTTGATAGCCCCGGAAGATCTGTCGAGCGAAACCTAATTTCGACAGAGTTCGACAGAGCTCTAAGGAGTCCGCAGAGGGCCATTTCAAGTCGATATTTTACCTTTTCGACGCTTTGCGTTCGTTATTTTGTCATTTCGATATTTTGCGTTCGATATTCTGCCTTTTCGATATTCTGCGTTCGATATTCTGCCTTTTCGATATTTTGCGTTCGATATTTTATCTGTTCGATATTTTGTCTGTTCGATATTTTGCGTTCGATATTTTGTCTGTTCGATATTTTGCGTTCGATATTTTGTCTTTTCGATATTCTGCGTTCCATATTTTGCCTTTTCGATATTTTGTCTTTCGATATTTTGTCTGTTCGATATTTTGCGTTCGATATTTTGTCTTTTCGATATTTTGCGTTCGATATTTTGCCTTTTCGATATTTTGTTTTTCGATATTTTGGCTTTCGAAGTTTTGTCTTTCGATATTTTGCGTTTCAATATTTTGCTTTCGATATTATGCTATTCGATATTTTGCGAGTTCGATATTTTGCAATTCGATATTATGCAATTCGATATTTTGCGATGTCGATATTTTGCGATGTCGATATTTTGCGGTTCGACATTTTGCGATTTCGATATTTTGCGCATTCGATATTTTGCTTTCGATAATCTGCCACTTCGATAATTTGTCTTCGATATTTTGCTATTCGATATTTTGCTTTTCGATATTTTGTCCGGAACCCGTTCATTACATGAGTAACGTCTGTTTTTTAGCACTTACGGCATTTATTTCCGCAGGGAAGTTGAAATGAAGTTTCAACCTATTATACTAGTAGTAGTTCAACTTTTCGATAGATTGAGACATATACCGCTATACATATAGGAGGGTCTATTGAGAGCCAACTGAGGATTTCTTTCGCTTCCCAAAGTCACGAAATCAGCCGGCCGCACAGGTGGCGGGGTAACGCTGCCAAACACAGCGGCACACACGGACCTTACCCGGCAGCACGGCGGCCTTTATTTTCCAGCGTGGTGACGTCACTGGTCCGTGTCACGTGACACGGATCAATACGTGACCAGCGGGCCCGGGTGACGGAGCCGAAATGACCACCGGTAGAAAACCGTCTTGGCATGACGCCAAAAGTGACGACTTGTTCACACTTTCAAAACCCTATTGCTTTTGTAGACCGTACGACCCGTCCTTTTGCTACTTCTTAGCTATTGCAGGAAACCGATGTATGACAAATATATAAAACTATTTTATATAATAACCATGTATTTCTGGGTGACTTTCAGTTCAGGAAGGCACCCGACATGTACTCTGAAGACCACGGGCTCGTGTTTCGCTCCTTCGTTTACCTGTTTCAAGTAATCAACGAACAAAAGGACAAGGACTTTCTCCTGAAGGCATCCTATCTAGAAATCTACAATGAAAAGGTAAAAGTGTATTGCATGGATAGCTTAGGTAGTTACGTTACCACGATTCACAATTAGCACCATAAGCTTTATGTCAAGAACTATTGAAGCTTTACATATAGATCAGACCATAAGTTCAATTGTGATCAGTGATTTCAATTATCGGTCACATGGCTAGATACTACTTATAGTTTAACGCTTTCATTAATTAAACATGAATTATGCTTACTACCAGCAGTTTGAACATTTAGAACGCTTTCCCACTTGGTGATTGATTCATTTGCCTTACTGTTCCCGGCGGTCTTGTCAGGTGATCGACTTGCTAAACCCGGTTCAGCCGGAGCCGGGCAAGCCGCCGCGGAGTCTGATGGTGCGTTGGAACAAGAAGAAGCGCGCCTTCTTCGTGGAGAACCTCTTCACCGTCGAGTGCGAGGAGCTCGACGACCTGCTGGCCGTGCTAGAAGAAGGTAGGGTGAAACAAACGTTAGCTTATAAAATGGGGCTTTAACCATCTGATAGCTGATTTGATGGTTGTTGCCGGGATCCGAGAGGCCTTTATCGTTAAGATCATTTATTTTCTTAATTAGCTCTAAACGTTTCTAGCAAAGTTGTATTAATAAGTAAAAGTAAGCAGCTATTCATCAGCTTCCGTCAATGCGCAATCATTCGATAAAATGCTTCTAAATGGTGCTGCTGGTGGATCTATTAGAGTACCAGCTGCCTTTTCGTCGCAGACTCCCGCCAGTCATGACACCGTCGTCTGTCGCCAGTCCGACACCTTTCCTTTTGTCGGCGTCCTCATTATACCGGCGTCCCCAAGCGATGTTTTTCCCCGATGTCTGCCACCCGGAGTCGGCAGGTGTTTGGCGGGTGCACAGCGGCGCTGGAGGCGGATCGATGGCGTTACCTACCGTCGCTGAACACTAACAGGGACTCCCATACACCGTGCACCGCGTCAACCGCCGTCCGTCTGCCCCCTCCCTCCGTCCCCTGCCCCTCCGCCGTCGCCGCCGTCGACTCGGCTGACCGGCTCCCCTATTATCGGAGTATCGAACAGCTCGCTCCGAGCGGTTTGCCGAACTGTGTCACAAACGCTCGACTCGTGGCCGTGTGCGGCTCGTCTGATGGTTATTTCAGAGCGCGATGACCGCGTCAAGGTCCCCCGCCGTCGTGTCGTCACTCGTCGATATAGCGAGCGGCGCCCAGTCGGCCCGCGGGGTTTGACGGCCGGTTGACGGCCAGTTGACGCGTCGAGTTGACGGTTCAGCCGACCCGATGAGAGGTCTGGCGGCCACGGCCACCGCGAAGGTGGTCGTTTGGCGGCCGGCGACTGATGATGGACGCGTGTTTGACAGGTTTGCGGAATCGAGCGGTGGCCAGCCACAACATGAACGAGTTTTCCAGCCGGAGTCACACCATTTTGACGGTGTACATTACCTCCGAACAAAAGGTGCGCACGAGAACGGGCAAACAATAATTAACGTGCCTCTATTTAATTTAGGATACTCATATTAAGGCAAACATTGAAAACTATGATTTGATGAAAGAGTTGAAGTGAAATAACTGACATACTGCAACGAAAACATCGAAACTGTTGCCAATGACTTATCGTCAAAATATAACCTTCCCTAGCCTTCTAGAAAAGTTTTCTAAGCAGATATTGCTCAATATATGATTTTGTAACGAGTTCCGTCCTCTTAGCTCTTAACTTGTGAGGTGAAAAAATATAAAAGCTAAAATAAGATGTGAACCTGTTTCTAACTCTCCATTCGAATATGTGCACCAGGCCGCAGAGGACTCGGACGTCTACATTTCGAAGCTGGGCAAGCTCAACTTTGTCGACCTGGCCGGCAGCGAGATGACAAAGAAGACCAACAGCGAGGGCAAAACCCTGGAGGAGGCCAACAACATCAACAAGAGCCTCATGGTGCTGGGTGAGTGAAGAATGCATTACACTTTTCCAGAATGGCCGTCCACTGATAATCCATCTGTTTATTTGTGCCTTTTTCGGAATTACCTGCATGTAATTTCTGCAATCGATTTTTCCATCGGTAAATTACCCGGGGAGTGGGTCATTTACGTGAAGTTCTTTCGATGAAACCGATTGGATGTTACGCTTGATATAGCACCGTATGGTAAAGTCGATGGCGGTTATGCAAGGGTAAATCGATGACAAGGGTGCTCAGTAGCCATTTTGATGACTTCACAACAAAGTAGGTATTGGAAGGCAAGAATATTGCGCTTGCATGAAAGACTGTCCAGGTATCTGAAGGGCACAATCCACATGAGAGACACTCCAAGTGAATAACGTTTGCCTTGCAAACGGTCTGTGTCGATAGATCTAGCCACCTTGAAAATACATTCCTTTTATATTTTTCCAGTTAATATTTTCTAAATCGCGTTCATAAAAGAAAAGGTAGAATATGCTAGTGGACACTATACAGTATACAGGTCCATCCGTCCGCACTTTTTACGTTACACCTTACGATGAATGTCAGGATGCGTGTTTCGTTGATGCATCACATCTGCCTGCGGTGCAAACTGCTTTGGCATATGCTTTAATCGATGCGTTACTTGGCTACCCGCACACCGACTTACATCACAACAAACGCAGACGGTCACTGGCACCGACCCAGGGCTCTATAATGCATAAGGTGGATTGGCCGAGGCAGCAAAGTTGGCTTTGCGCACCCAGCAACATATTCGCATGTAAAATTAGGTGTTTCATAGACTGGTCTAGTTACATTACACTGAACTTAAAATGACCATTAATTGCAATGATTTTACTTCAATTGTAACATTTTTGCATCACCTACTAATTCGCCACTGGAACATCACGTTGATTTTATTTCCGGGATTCTAATAAGAACTAGTTATAATATGTATGCTTAAAATACATCAGAATTTCTTGCTCGAGGGTAAATTCCGTGACATTCCGGTCATTAATTGTTATGTCATATTACGGGCTTTGCAAAACGTAACGGCTCAACAATATACCTGCAAAGTGAATGTGTTCAAGAAACTTTTTCGTATAACAAGTGAGGATGGGCCGGTGTTCATCAGGTCTAAGACTATTCTCAGGCCTGTTTCCAATGGGGACCATTCTGTGGCAGCTCTGTCGCCCAGCCAGCAGGCGAGAGTTGAGAGCGCGCTACCGTCGTGTGCAAAGGTCGCCCAGCCATGATGTCAGAGAGCACGACAGAAGGTGATCGGGAGGCCAGAGAGCGATGGTCAATAGTGGATCCCCCATCGGTAGGGCGATTTGGGTCAAGGCCAGATATAAGTAAAGCCAATTCAATGTCAGATTCAACGTCAGATTTGCGTTGTTTTTGAATAGAAAAAGTAAGTTATTTAAAAGGGGAAGACTGGTTAGAAACTTGAATAAATGAATTCTGGCACTGGATGGCGTTATAACCCACGAATCAATTACAGATTTCCATGACCTAGAGTCGCTCAAGGGAGTTGCTTAGGTCACATTTCCAAAACAACACATCAAACTAGTTAAAATGGCGTGCTGCTGGCATTACTGACAAGTGACAACGTAGTTTGCTCAAAACATAAGCAATTCAGCTAGATGACTCAGTACAAACTCCTTCTTCACTGGTCATACTGATATTTAATAGTTAACGACACGTAGCGTAAAACAAACCTATAATCCAGGTACCGTCGTCTGCTCAAACTTTGTGAAAAGTGAATCGCCAGCGACATGTGCGGGGCGCGTCTCACGAAACCACTTCTGAGTTCTAACCCATTGTTTGCCGCTATTGATCGGAGGTGACGTGACTTGTCACGTGGTTTACAGAAGGTCCTGGTTTCAATAGGTCCAAACGACGGACGGTGCCCGGTGCCGGCCAGTCCCAGACTCGCCTTTACCGGGAACCGGAGCCGATTTGGTCTAATGGACATCGTCTGCCGCGGCTGGGCTCAGACATACACGAGGTCACGACATCGGCCTCTTTGGCGCATCGTTAACTATTAAAGCTGATTGTTTTCAGGATTTGGCATGAGTTATGGCACTCTGAGCCGCAATGCTACGGTGCATGCAGATGGCAGTTTCAAAGGAACAGATTGTTTCATGCGGGCATGACGTTGCCAATAAGGAGGATCATTATTGATGGTCGGCTCGGGCTCGTTTATCTTCGGGTTAATAGCATATCTCAAGGGTCAGACTGGACCGCAATGGTGGTGCGAATGCTACGTAGTCGCACTGGTAAAGGATAAGACCTTACGTGTGCGAAGCAGATTGTAAAAAGCAAAATAGACTGAGCGACACTATATTTCTACTGCAGAAATGAAATCGTTCATACACGGCAGGACATAAATTAATTAGCCAATTAGGTCGCGATGATAAAGCGTTGGCCAATATTAAACATGCACATATGATTATGAAGATAGAAATATCCTTTGGTACATACAGTCCGACAAGATGTCCGTTTATTTACAATGCTCCAAATTAACACTGTTGCGTGCATTGCACACTGCACAGTGTACTGGCGGTTCCGATCCCCTCCGGTGATAAAACTGTGCATCTGCCCTCTGACCCGGTCCGTGGGGCCATTCACCTCGCCCCTCACCCCTCCCCCTCGCCCACCGGCCGCTCAGCGGCGCCCGTTATTGATCTGTCTTGCCGGGGGAGGGGGTGTAGGTGGGGGGGTCAGCACCTGCGGCCGCCGCGGGCGACGGTCACCTGCGTCGTGTCGATACCCCGCTGACTGGCGACCCACATGAACGGGCCGTCCACCGGTGACCCGACTGACCTTTCCACCGCGGGGCCCGGGTCGAGTCACCGGCGACAGAAATCGGCCTTCGCCTGGCGGAACAAACACTAAAGCCTGTCATGTGTTCTGAAAGAATACCTTGTGTCAACCTTATTAACGTCATTTGCTTGGTCAAACATGGTGCAACCTAGCTTTGGGCTGAAGGGCTTAATATTTGAATTGCGATATAACAAAAGCACACCTAAACTGTGTAAGCGATACCTACGCCATTGTATCCGTCTACATACTGGTAAGACGGTGACACCGTGAAATTGCGAATGCATTATGCAATAACAGCTCAAATATACCGCATTGTTATGAGCACTATGTTCCAATGGCGCATTGGGCAAAAATTGTGCGTTTATGAGTCATGCTTATGTTTCCTTACCCGAAATTATTTCTTAAGCCAAAAGAATGAGTATTGTGTTGGCGATTTTAGCCAGATCGTCAGCATCTACACATGTGCTACTCGTTTCAGGCACGTGTATATCGAACCTCAGCGACCCAAAGAAGAAGACGGGTCACATTCCATACCGGGACAGCAAGCTGACCAAGCTGCTTGCCGACAGTCTGGCCGGCAGTGGCGTCACGCTGATGGTAAGAAAGATAGTATGTCTGAAGAAAAAGTTAACGTTACCCCTCTAATGCCTCCATGATTGGCTTCGCTTCTCACAGACGCACGCCGCTCTTCGGGGCATTGCCTAATGCGTGTGACGCGGCGGTGGCCGCCTAAAGTTATGCTGCGCCGCAATACTAGCTCACATTCCTCCCGCTAGTTTGAGTTGTAAGTAGTGAGCGCCTGTAGTTGTGCTGCACCGCAATACAAGCCGATATTCTTCCCGCTAGATGTCACTAGTAAAGAGCGCCTGAGAATATGCTGCACCGCAGTACAAGCCGATATTCTACCCGCTAGATGTCACTAGTAGAGCGCCTAGAGCTATGCTGCGCCGCATAACAGTCTTACATGACGTCTTCCCCGCTAGATGTCTCTAGTAGTGAGCGCCTTTAGTTATGCTGCACCGCCGAACACCATCTGCCAGCGCGCGAGGCGAAGCGGCCTGTCTAAAGTAAAGATAGAGCTTCTTTAGGATCGTGGAGCTATCGAGAGGGATATCATATGGGAATCGAAAATCACCTCCCCCACTTCAAGTGTTTTAGAAGTATCGAGAGGGGCCCTTATTACCTGACCGTGCGTTTACTTATTATGAACGTTTTTCTTCTGTCTGCAGATCGCGTGCGCGTCCCCCGCGAGGAGCAATATCAGTGAGTCCCTCAACACCCTAAGGTACGCCTCCAGAGCCAAGAGGATCAAAACCAAGCCCATCGTCGTCATGGTAAGTTTATGAACCGTCTGCCACGGCCAAGTGGCCGGTATAAATTTCAACAGTCTGATTCTGGTTCCCGGACACACGGACAACAGTGCGTGTGTGTTTAAGTTATAAGCATCACATCGATGATATTCAAGCTCTTTTCCTCGTAATCAGATCAATGCTTTTCAATTAAATTCATAACCCACGAACAAAGAAAGTGGTTGTGGCCGTTAATTAGAGCTTAGCCGACCAGATTACTGCTATCCTGCACTGTACATATAAGAGTCTGATTTAAGTGATAACACGTTTACATTCGTTACTTCCTCCACCAGTTACGCCTGTCCAGCGGCTTCGGGCCGGCTGACCTCCCTTCCCCCCCCCCCCCGACAGGACCCGCGCGAGTCTCTCATCATCAGTCTGAAGCGCGAGGTGCACATCCTGCAGCAGGAGAACGACCAGCTGAAGGCGCTGCTGAATATCGGAGCGCACGGCGAGGTGCCGGCCATCACTAACGGCACGCCCGGCACCGGGGGCGACGCGCGTGAGTGGCGACATCTGTGCCGTCGACGCCGGGGCTGCGCCGTGAGGGAGGAGACGGGTCCCAGCGAGGGGTCACGGTGACGGCTCTGTCAGTTATTGACTCAGTGGTATTTGTGCCAAATGTAAAGAGGTTTTGAATGGTGTGATTTCCCTCGTTATGGAGTTTGCCAGAGGCTCAGCTTAGAATATACGTCCTTCTCAAGTAAGACGGTAAACCGAGAGTCTCACGAGCGACGCGTAGCCTGAATCATTTTAGATAATGTGTATTGTGTACCTAGTGCAACATAGGACGATACCGTCCCTATGGTCCACCGTGCAGACCACCCAGCTCCACCCTCCCTACTCTCCCCCAGGCCGTCGTCCATCGATCGCCAAGCTGGCGGTGGACAAGGAGCGTCTTCACGAGCTGAAGACCGAGGAGCTGATCGAGCTGCTCCAGGAGTATATGGCCAACAACACGGCCCTCCGTGACGAGAACCTGGACCTGCACACGCTGCGGGACGCGCTGATGCGCGACCAGGACGTCATCATCAAGGAGAACGAGCGCCTGCTGCGCAAACTGGAGGAGATCAACAGGTCGGAGATTAGCGGCGGTGGGAACATGCACACTTGGCTGCTGCGGGAAAAAGAAACGCGGCATGATGGTGATAGGGCGGGATTGAGGGCTGTATGGGACGATATCGGGAGTCCGCGGGTTTATAAAACGGTCATTGCCGTTATCTTGTATCCAACTTACCGTGTAGATGTTGTTAGTTTTGAATGATGCTATGCCTAGTTATATGTGATGTTTCATTTTGAAATCTGAATGTTGCATGGTCGTCGTCAGTTCATTGCCCGCTATGCTTGACTGGGATCCCAGGACCAGGTATTCGTCAACATCACTAATAAATTGCTTAGCACGCATCGGAGCAATCCATTCACACGCTCCTGCTGTTGTGGTGACGCCCACTTTCCACCCACGCGCTGCTTTCTGCCACCGTGATCTGAAGGCGCGGTACCAGTGTCGGGGTGGTGTGACATCAGTGTGCCATTCGCAGCACGTGCAGCCGGTCCCCCATCGTGCCGGCGCGTCCGACCTACTCAGCCGACCTGCAGGTGCAGAGCCTCAGCCAGCCGTCCACTCTGCCCAACACGCCCGAACGGAACGGACACGGGGGAGGTGACGGCCAGGTCAACGTGTGGACCAACCCGCGATACGTGAGTGGCCGACGGCGACGGGCGGGGATGTGGCACGCGAAAAAAGACGAAAGGCTTTTGCCTCAGCAGTTTTGTCGATTGTTAGGTCGATTTATGGGAACATCATTTAATCAGTTACCGGCTTAAAGTGTATGTGAAAGTCCCCCAGCAACGTTACGCTCAGTAGGGGAGAGTGGGGTGGGTTGTATCAGTTTTTACTCCGAGACCCATAAACTCGTAACTATCCGTGATAAACTCATTATTTCCATACTGTCCCCTTCCTTGATTCTTCTGCTTTTTTGTGCAAAGTAACTTTTCCGCTACCTCTACCAGTTTTTCTTCTACGGTCTGCCGAATAGAACAATGTTTTTGATACAACTTGCCCCATGGCTTGGGTGAGTTGTATCACATGGTGGGGTAATTTGTATCACTATTTCACGTTTCAGGGAGTGTGCTTGCTACTGGTTTTGAACATAACAGCAACATTAAATGGGGTTAATACAATGTATAGGTATGCTCAAAGGCTTCACTTTATTAGACCAAACTTAGGTCAATGCAATCCGAACGAAACATCAACAGACTAGACGCAAAAGTGGCCCGTTAAGAGCAAAGAAGCCAACACATTGTGCCGAAATGGAACGAGCATTGACTAGCTACCTACAAACGCGAGCCAGGGCTTAGCTTTCGCGATCAAAAGCAACATACCCATACATACATACATACATACATGTTACAACATACCCCACCCGGCTCTGATACAACATGTACCTAGCCGCCATCTTGGAAAAACATCCTCGTGCTAAAAAACAGCGGACAGCTGGAGAAATCCGTTTTCACTCACGCAGCCTTAGAACCTACCCTCACCACCGCTACGGAGATCTTTCAAATTCGTGCACATCTAAATGCCTAAAACACACATTTTCTTGTAACTTATTTTTTTTAGAATGACATTAAAAAAACATAAAATCGGCTCTCACCTCGAGACGCGTCCACTCAGCCACAAGACAGAACAGGGAAAGATGGCGCCCGGAAAACCTCGTCGGCTGGTCGTGTCGCGAGCGCCATCCATTGGATAAGTTTGGCACAATTCGCCCTGATACAACTTGGACATGATACAACTCTCCCCGCTCTCCCCTATGCGTTTAAGAGGTGAAAACAAAGGTCATGGGTGACAGTCTATGTAGCGGAGATCAGGGGCTTGGCGACAATCCCAGTTTGAGCTGTTCGTGCGTGGCTGGCGCAACTTGCTAAGAAGGCATTCTGCCAATTGGCTGTGAGGCACAAGGCCCAAGCATCTGCCAAATAACTGACATATTTTGGTAGATCTAGGCTCTGCGTGAGGTGGTTGGGGTTGAAACGACGTGGCCGTTTGGCAGCAGAATCGCTTTCGATTTGTGCCGTGCTGAAAAAGGAGCTTTTTTCGCTGTTCGCAGGAGGAGAAGAAGAACAGCTCACCGAGGAAATCGAAGGTCCCCAAGTCCGTCGACAAGGAGCTGGAAAAGCGACAGATGAAGGGCTCAGAGTAAGTTTGTTGAGGGCGAAAAAAATAGGATCGGGCTGCAACACTTGTAGGTTTTAAGCGGTGTTTCATCGAATTCGTAAGGCCAAGCAATTAAAATTTTGGCGCGCCAGAATTTGCGGCCAGATTTTATTCATTTATTCATTTAAGCAATAGGGCCTATATTTTGAAAAAGGCGATAGCACTGCCGATGCTATGTTTGAGAGTAATGTGATCGAACCAGGGGATCTTCTATCTATTCCAGCAACATCAAGGGCAAGATCCAGCAGCGGACGCCGTCGGGGACGAGAAGCGCCGACGGCAAGAAGCCCAAGTCGCAGGCCATCAAGAACGACCTGGCGGCGCGGCGTCGGGCCGGCGCCTCGCCCGGCCGACCGCCCCGGGCCAACCAGTGAGTGACCCACGCCTAGGCCGCGTGATATTTGGGTACTCGGCGTGAGGTCTCATTGTATTATCATTTACGTAAATGAATCCACTCAGCGTGAGACGTCATTGTATTATCATTTACGTAAGTGAATCCACTTCCAACGATCGTTAGAGCGTTATAGTCTCACTAATACACAGACGATCGGTTGCAAACCAATTTACTAATGGTTATGCAACCGGTTTCATCCAGCGTTTCAGGCTAAGTGAATGTAGGTAATGGAGTTAACTGGGGGTCATGTCGTTTACGTAATAACTCCAGCACTCCAATTACAGACCGAAGATGAAAAAGGCCTCATCCACGTCACGCCTGGATGAAGTGAAGAAAAGGAAATAAAGAGTCCATCTTCGGCTCTACTTTTAGCAATCGGATGCAAACTCATCCCATGCGGGACTGACAGGCCACTGTCGTCTGTCTGTCAGCTAACCCCGCCTCACTGGTGACGTCATCACCATCTGTTAGTGACGTCACACGGCCCGTTTGGCGGCCGGAGTGTTGTTTTGTAGCTGTCAACAGGGCGCTTTGTGATTTGGCTTTGTCTACGCCTCATAGGTATGGCCGTTGGCGGGGTAGATCCGGTGGTTGTGCCACCAAGGACACGACCCAGCTAGCTGTTCAACGTATCCGTCCTTCGAATCCGTCCGACTGAACCGATCCGTCCACATACATGGGGTGTTATTTATCTACCTGAGCGCATATCACTCTCATGAGATTGCACCCTGGGTTGATGCAGAGCACAAGACTTTTCGTCCTTTTTGTTTTTGCATTTTGCGTCCGTGCATTGTACAAACTTTGATGCAGGTTCACACTACAGTGACCTCCTACTGACTGTTGTGATGCAATGCATATAATTTATAAATGTAAATCTAGTCTGGTGCGCGCCCCATTTTGTAGAAGGTAGGCTTCGAAATAATCAGGGCTTATCTTATCGTAGAGTGCTGCCGTGTTCGTTATTAGGAGACTTTTATGTAGCTGTAACCAATCAATCAACATTCGGTCAAGTCTGTGACATAAATTTTCTAAGCAGGCCAGTTTTGTCAGCCGTAGGTACTTCGTTTAAACCATCGTCAAAAAACAAATGTGTTCATTGTTTATCCTCATTTGCCTCCGGCCGCAGTGCAATAACTGGGCGCTAGTTAGGTACTTTGGTGAATGGTGACCTAATCGTTGTACGATTCAAACACCAGGGCCGCAGGGCGACAAAAATGCTGTAGCGACACACTCGGGCCCTCGGCCGGCCAAATCTCGTAAAAAAACCGTACCGTAAAAAACGCGTCTTTTGTCCGACGCGTTTTTCGTAACAAATATTGCTGTAGGTACATCCGAAATGCAAAACGATCTCAGTATCTGACCCACTCGATCTCAATTTCACTACTCCCAGTGCGGAACGGATGTTTAGTCTCTTGTATACCATTGCAACGGATGGTTTGTATCTAACCGGATGGGTTGGCGAGTTGTTCGTCAGTGTCTCACTGGTTCCCTTGAGCATCGATGTTGGGCGTGTCTATCCCGAGTTTGACGTGCTTTCTGACTTTCTGTACCCAACTGCGCGCCCGCGATGTTCATCGTCGATCTGATGGTATCGTCTCGAGAAATGCGTTCAAAGACCTGCAGCGATTCTATCCGAATATGCATGGTACTGTCGTCTAATGTAGACAATAGTTGCTACTTGTTGGTGAGGTGCAAATAACTAAATGTAAAACTCTTAACACCCCTCGAACTCATTCCAACCTATCAGCCGATGCCTTCGAGCCGTGACTGATCTCTGCATCAAACGCAACTGTGGTCGGGTCACATGTATTCTGTGATGTTTTGAAACGATCCGCCGCGAAAACGCGCCGTAATCGGCGTCTGAATAATACATATCACGACATGGACCGTGGTGTCTGAGCTGGATGGAGCCAGACACGGCGCAGCAGCCGACCGGGGGATCCTCCATCGAGCACACACCAGATCGTGTCGGACACAACTGCCGGGTGCATGGCGCGGTGACACTGTCGACATTGCCAGTGATCGGCTCATCGTCAGCGCACGCCGTACTCGCGGACGCGAGGCAACGCGTCACACACGAACACAAGTCGGTTAGCGGCGGCGGTAACACCGGCTCAACATCGCAGCCACCAAACACATCGGCGATACGGCTCGCAGACCGTCTTTGGCGAGCCGTGGGTAAAATGAAAGCCAGGTCCTGACTCAGTGCGCACAACACCTAATGGTCTTTTTATGATATCGGTAAAAACGAATCCATTTTAGGGCATGAATCAGAACTAACCGAAGTAAAAACGACAAAGACATGAGCCACCGTAGAATATGACTCACTAGCGCCTCACGCTACATTGGACAAACAGACTTGAAATCAATGCAACAATCCTGATATACAACGGAAGGAATAGATAAATGCATACCAATAAAGACCACATAGCACAAATATCACACCAAAATATCAATAAGGGAAAACATGTAGCCAAGAGATTCGACATCAGAAAGCCAAAAAAAAAGACTAGAGGAGAGGACCGTCTACCAAAACGCTCACACTTTACGTAGCACCTAGTTACATGGAAACGGCGAGCGCATCCCGCACATACCCTGCTAACCTACTGAAGCTAACCGCCGTCCCTTGTTTCTGAAGCTAATGCGCGACCAGTTATCTATACATCACACTTCACTACAGATGAGTAACAGATAACACGTGACGCCAACAGGCGACGCCAACCGATACCTATAAGACAAACTTGAATAATTACACAGACGGAAACGGAAGACAGCAAAATAATTGCTCCAAATTTCAAAATCAGACATCAGAAATGGTGAAAGAAAATAGGCACAGTGTAAGCTATATGTGCTGTGTAATTAACCCGCGCACCGACGGGGGTCTGCGCCAACTTAGTACCGACGGGGGGGGGCGGATGACCGCCCCCCCCTGAGATCTCGAGAACGAAGCAAGATACCGACAAGCGGTAAACGGCATCGGATACGCACGGTCAAGATCTACAATTTTTACAAAGGTCATTTTCAGGTCAGGTCAAAGATGACGTCACAGGGGTCGAAAAAGTCAAAATGGCGGCGCTAAATATGGAGAGAGTTTTTCTCGAATAACTTTCGAATTAGTCAAGATAGGAACAAACTAAGGGCATCATCGTGATCCTCTCGTCAATCCGCATCGAATGGTATATATGTTGACCTCGAAAGGTCAAGGTCAAAGGTTGACCTCAGGTCACGTGACCTCGAGGTCATCATGTATATCATTCGATGCGTCTTGACGAGCTGAACACAATGAGACCATACACGCGTCTGTATCTTGTTCCTGTACGGAGTTATTGGCCAAAAACCTTTGGTGACCTTTGATGACGTCACATGACCTCACAGCTGCCCAACAGCAAAACAGACCTCAAGGTAGTGAAGGTTGATCGTATATGAAGTCATGTATGGTATATGGGGCCATTCCGACCCGTTTTAGTAGTAAAAACAGGGAGTTGATTTTTCCCCCATTGACTTATAATGGGGAGGTCACGAAATTGACCTGACCTTAGGTCACCGATATCAAAATTCCGAGATATACAAATTGTAGCTACTAATGACCTAATAACATCCTGCGACTTTCAAAGGCCTCCGACATCTACTGTAGCTCTGGCACGGTGACAAAGTTGCAAAAAAGTGACTTGAGGTTGGGTCATTCAAAGTGACCTGGTGACCTGACCTTGAAAGGTAGGAGGTTCAAACTTGCACACCATGTGTAAAATTGATAAGGGAATAGTCATACCAAATTTCGCGGCGCTACGCGCCGCGGTTTTCCCGCTATTTGCGAAAAACCTCAGGGGGGGGCGGATATCCGCCCCCCCCCGTCGGTGCGCGGGTTAAATCTCCGTCTAGACAGGCAATCCAGAAACAATACGCTAAGAAGCGGTTCACGCCGAAAATACGCAATTTGAAGTTCCACAACAAAGTCGGTGTGATTGAAGCGTGCAACATTCACAGTAATACAGAGGTATGTAAATGTCCCCTAATCATTCACACAAATGCCATAAAACCTGAACTATACTACAGCGGTTTGAAACCATGCCAATCACGGAACTTGAAATGGAACTAACACACCGTTTGGACGCGTCCTAGGACGACCTTTGCCGCCAAAGAGCCAGAGCAAACTGTGGTGTCCAGTCCACGTAAAACGGTTCATAAGCGTCATCACATTTTGTAGTATGCATATGAAAGCCCAGGCAAAAGACGCGAACTGTGAGCAGGGCTGAGCCTCAGCTAAGCCGCAGAGGTGAATGGCAACGGTCTGAAACAGTGACATTCGAAAAGCTCTCCAATATTGGCCCAGGACCAGACAGCAGACAAAACTTAACAGAAACCCTAAAATAGTAGTTTGTTGTGAGTTGTGGCATGTTCTCAGGTGAGACTGGCTCATTATGCATACTGTGCCCATAAGAGATCAGGTGACTGACTTACAGAATCTGCTATCCACAACTGCGGTGAATCACGGCGTAGCCCGCCAGGCCCGCTCGAGTTTCGCAACAATCGTGTGCGACAGAGACGATGAGTGACTAACAGAAACTACCTACGTAGGTACGAGTTCGGCCGGTACAAGGTCGAACTCCGTAACAACGAGCGTGGCAGCTGAGCACCAGCGCGCAGAACCCTGTGCTACCCACCCTCTTACACGACGTCGAACGCCGTCTTACCAACTAACTACACACTACTAGTTCACACCACCACTACTCGCCCAGCCGAAGAACTGGCCTGGTCATGGGACGCACGCTCGCAATGGGCACCGACATGCCGTTTCAGTCCACTCAGACCAGCGTCTGAATTCTGCAGACTATGTAGACCAGCCCGCCACGGTTGTGCCGAGGTGGGGCCAAGCCAGGGCGGTTATCAGTCCAAGCACAGCTCACAAAGGGCAAGACATCTCGCAGCGGCAAAGCTGATTTCCACCTAGAACATTTCTCCTAATGTTTTCCATACGCTTTGTGACAGTCTCATTTCGGTCAGTGTTATAATGCGACCACGTTTGGTGATCACTCACACAGCGTCCGTTACTTTGGCTGTTGTGTGCCGTAAAAGAGCACATCCTCAGTTCACATTCCACTGCCCGTAGAACTCCACACGGACTCTGCCAGAGACTACTTGATTTACCGAGCCTCCTCTCTGATGTTCCACTCCAGTTTGTCACGCCCTCTCCACCCTGCCGGTCTCCGGGTCCCAGCGGCGCGTGCGACTCACACTCCGCGCGCTGACCACGGCACTCCGTCTGCCGGACCGGCCGGGGCGCGTCGGTCCGGCGCCGGCCGGGCTCAGAGCGGCGCCGGCTCGCCGTCCGCGGCCGGACGGCGCAGAGCCTCGCTCTGAACATCATCCAGCTCGAGATCGTCGGGCTTCTGCGGCGGCGGCGGCCGGCACGTCTCGTACAGCTGGACCAGATTCGGGTATAGCGAGTAGAGTGTTGTGCAGATGCCCAGGATGTTCTTCATGAGGAACAGCGAGATGTCGCCGCCGAGGGACACCCAGAGCTTGATGCGGATCACCATGTAGGAACCGTTGATGAGGAACAGGTGCAGCAGCTTGTAGACTAGCATGACGAATGGTGATCCGGTTTCTAGGCCAAAGTCCGTGAGGCTCAGCTTGTACAGCGTCAGCGTCGGCAGTATGAAGTTGACGGCGGAGAGCGCCAGCACCGTGTTCTCCAGGGTGAAGGTCATCACGATGTGGCTGTCGGAGAGGATCAGCAGGCTGAGGAACTGCACCGAGTCCATGATCTCGTAGGCGGTGGAGCCGCACAGCAGGCGGATGTAGGTGTTGCGCGCAGAGGTCGGCTCGGCGTCGTGGTGGCCCTCCACGAGCAGCATGAACACGGCGCTCGACGAGGCGATGGCGATCTTGAGCAGCTGCGGCCCCCACCGGTCGGTCGGCTGCAGCGTGTTGGGGATCTCCGAGGTGAAGATCACCACCACTTTGGCCACCACCACCGTGGCGTACACGACCCACGACACGTAGCTCAGCGGCAGGATGCCCAGCTTGGACCGCGGGTAGTGCGGGATCAGCCGTTTTGGTGAGTACGGGAACTGGCCGGCGCGGTCGCGGCGCTTATAGTGCAGGTACCGGTGCGCGATCGCCAGGGAGCCAATGAACAGAAAAAGGATGACAAAGTCTGCTGCAAACCAAAAGTAGGCCTTGAGAGAGTCTTTGGCCTGTGAGATAATGTAGTAGTTGAGCACACATGATTGGAAGATATGGACCAGCACCAAGCAGATTCCAATGATGAGGTGCAGCACCAGCTGTGCAGAACACTTCTTCAAGTGCCAACCCATCTCTTCGGGCCTAGAATAGAAAAACTACTTCAGATCTCAAGAGTTACAACTCATGTGAAGAGCATTGAAGTAGGTATATCCAGTATCCACACAGTGAATATGAAATGACTTTCTGTAAATGTCAAAATCATAATAATGTATCCAGATATCCCAAGTAATGTCCAAAGTAATAATCCAAAATAATGTAAGCCAGCCAGCAGAGCAAAACTAAACCCGCGCCCAACTGGCGGGGGGGGGGGGGCGCTATTCATAGCCCCCTTCTCGTTTTTCTGCAATAACTTCCAAACCGCTTAACGTATCGACGCCAAACTTCAAGTACCTTCGGCTGCATCAATTTGACACTTTGTGCAAGATATGAACTCTGTAGCTACCATAGGATGGCCTGAAATGACGTCAGAGTGACGTCATGTTCGGCCGATTTCGACGCAAAACATTGAACAACGGCAATCGCTCCCAAGAGCTCAGTTTTTAAACTAGATCCAATTTCTTTGCATGAGAGGACTCATAATAGACTGTGCTATCAAACTGCTGTCTCGGATTTTCAAAATTTCAAAAATTTCGAAAATTGTATATAATAAAATTCGCAATTTATATTTCTATATTTTTAAAAAGTTTTGACTTTTAGAAAAAAAAAAACGGAATATATGTGATGGAGCACATGCTTATGACTTACTCTAGAAAGTTTTAGCCAAATATCTTCAAAAATGGCCAAGTTATACGCATTATAGCAAAAAATTCACAATTATAAATTTTCAAATCAATTTTTTTTTTCAGCCTACGCATTTCACATCGTATACTAATATAAATAGCACCATCGTGTTCCTGAGCTGAAACTGCATCCGATACACATTTTTTGTTGCAAAATTTTAACTTTAAAATTTGACCTTTTTTGACCTGAAAGTAGCCTGACCTAAGCTAAATTCAACTCAAAATGATCTCGAATGACAAACGATATCTAATTCGATATCTATGACCTAAATGGACCATAAAACATGTGTCACGTGACCGAGACATGCAGATATAATATTTCTGTGACCTGTGATGACCTGACCATGACCTGAAAATCAAAGTACAAGTTTGTTACCCTCAGGGTACCTATCTAAAGCATCTGTTCACGAGTGTGTCAACCAAAAACGAGCCTGATCTGACTCGTAAGACGGCGGCCAGAGCCCAAAATGTGAACAAGCCAAACATCGATAATTTTTACTTTGACCTGACCTGTGACGTCATCGGTGACCTTGAGGTCAATGAAATTAGGTTTCGTTCGACAGTTTTTCCGGGGTTATCAGACGCCATTTGAATTTTGACGATCGGCCCAGTAGTTTCGGAGTTCGGGGGGGGGGGGGAGCATGAACTATGAAGAGCTCCCCTAGGGTGCGTTATACAGTATACACAGACCCCAGTGCAGTGGAGCGGGGGTTAACTCATCAGTGGGTAGTCAAAAGCCTGCCAGCCATTCAGGCTGTAGCAACCTGCAGTTCCTTCAGTAGTCATAATAAAATTGAGCTTGAAACCCCAATGAAGCTCAACATTTACAAGCGCAATTGAATAAATGCAAAAATTACTGCACTAGTCAAAACTTTCACCTCATGCAAGCTGCAGTCTTTTTAAAATGCAACATCATCAGGCAGTAACACAAGGAACCAGGGCCACCAATTGAGAAAAATACAAACTTCAAAAGCGATCAAAAAGCCCAACTAAAAAAGATCAACCCATGCAGAGGTATTTCCAAAGATCTTGGGGAATGGTCATTGGTACATAATAAGATTCTATTGTCTACACTACAATAGGTACCTCAGCACAACTTTTAACAGATATTTCAAACACTTCTAGTACAGATGCCATAATATTCAAAGGCTTAACCTTGTTGTAATTCAGAAAGAATGCCTACTGTCCCACTTCCTAGCTTTTGATGCAGAATGATGCAGCATTAAACACATACATTTTCATATTAACTTTGTTTGATGATAATTTCTTGTCAGACTGCATGCTGAAGGTTGATAGTAGCTTGAAACTCAGTTGCCATGAGCTAGAAGCACCTATCTTGTCAAACCTTAATATTGAGTTTTTCATAGGTACAGTCACCAGCACTTGCTACTAATCACCTCGTTTTTGTTCAGTAGTTTGAAGACCGATCAATTCTCAGTCGCGCAAGATACGTCAAACGATCCGTTTGGTCCTCCGATTTTCGAATATCTAACTTGTTTTTGTATATTCGAAGCATTTTGGGATGGAGAGCCAAAAAAACCTCTTTTCTGCCCTAAAGTGTGCCCCAAGAGGTCGTAGAACCTAGCCCCGCCTCTGATCCACAGACCACTAGTGCCATCTCTTGTCAGCCGAACAAGCCGCAGAAGTAAATAATGTCACGTGACCTTTGCACACGCTACAATTACTACGCAGCTGTAGTGGGGGAAGCGGGGCGGAGGCGTGGAGGGGGACGCGATCGGTCGGCTGGGGTCAGGTCGCCGACGTCAGAGGTCATCCGCCGGAGGGTGTTTGAGCGGTTGGGCCGTGTGGGCTGGGGCCTGCGGAGTGGAGAGCGCCTGGACCTGTCTGGAAACAAGCCCTACAGCGCTGTGACAGTCGAGAATATTGTGAGGAAAGAGAGAGAGGGAGAGGGAGAGGGAGAGAGAGAGGAGAGAGAGAAAGAGAGGAGAGAGAGGGAGAGAGAGAAAGAGAGAGAAAGAGAGAGATAGAGAGAGAGATAGAGGGAGAGAGGGAGAGAGCAAGAGAGAGAGAGAGAGCGCGGGAGAGAGCGAGAGCGAGAGAGCGAGAAAGAGAGAGAGAGAGGGCGAGAGAGAGCGAGAGAGAGCAAGAGAGCGAGAGAGAGCAAGAGAGAGGGCGAGAGATAGCGCGAGAGAGAGCCCCAGTAAACATGACGACGTCGGCCCGACGTCGGGCCGAGGCTCGGCCCGACGTCGGTCCAGCGTCGGTTCAACCTCGGCCCGACATCGGCTGGACGTCGGATATGCCCGCATGTTCCGACGTCCAGCCGAAGTTCAGCCGACGTCGAGCCGACGTCGGGCCGAGATCGTTTGCCGAGGTTGACGAGATCGTTTGTCGTTGGACCGACGGGGCCGACGTCGGCATGCTTATTGGGACACAGGCACGTACCCAGGATTTCGCCCAGGAGGGGGCCACCTGCTTTCGAAGGGGCCCCCCAGGTCACCCGGGGGCCCCCGGGACTTGGGAGTCATGCAGAACCTTTCGATGGTGGGGAGGGGGGGGGGGAGCATAGTGGGTCCGGTCTCTCCTGCAGACGTAGGTGAGAAAACGCCACGTGTGTGGGAAAACGCAATTCAGTTCTTTACAACCTAATGTAGCATTTGGTTGTGATTGCTCGCGTTCAACTTCATCAAAGTCAATTAAAACGGTCTCTGTAACGGTCTTAAGCCTTCAGAAAATGTGGAAAATTGGAAAGTAAAAATATTTTTGCTTGAGGAGTGTGCATGAAACTCACGGCATTTTATGTGCGAGAGCCTCAATTACCGAACACCCTCCAATAGGGTTGGGACCTATCTGCATGCTCTGTATGTTTTGGTAAAATAAAAAAGCTCAGAATTTTTAATGATTTAATTTAAAATCACTTTGTTAAAAAAATGCCTAGTTAGTTCAGAAATTAATTATTTGTGGCTGAAAACAACTTGCTTCTGATTGGTCGGGCTAATCATGACGTCACATGTAGGTATATAACTGTCTGTATATTTGGCGCAGTTGAGACATACATTTTCTATGTATTTTCCTATGGTAAATCGGAGTGATTGGTCGTGTTTTCAGTGTCTCTTTATTTTGCGCTGGTATTGCGTGGCTAAGAAGTTTTATCAAGAATGGCATAAACTTAAATGTTCCTTTAATAATGGAGCTTCAATATCTGTGAGTTTTATTGGCAAGCGAAAACTGATTTCGCTGTTATTTTATCTGGAAATTACTCATTTTTTTAGGTCAATATTCAAAATATTTTACGGGAACAAGTTGGCACTTTTCTTGATTTTTGCACTCAAATCGCGTGCGATTCAACTGTATTGGAACTTGCAAAGAAGCTTGGTGATTAATTAACTGTGTTGTTATGGCACTGTTTGCAAAGCATGGATAATGAAACTCTGCCAAAGACTTAGCTACATAGCAATGCCTCAAGTAATACGCAGGAGGGACAGAATTCAGAGTCCGATCGAGAAGAATCGGTGCAAATGCTACGAAGACCAGGCAGCTCTGATACAATAGCTAGTCGTCTCACTACTCTCACTCCATTAGACCAGCTGATTCCTGACAGCACCGACTCGGATGCAAAGATGGAGCTCATCTTCCAAGCCAGAAACCAGTTCTTTGATGGAAGATGTGATGCTGCCTCTGTCTCTGCTTTGTTGGCCACTTTGGACGGGGCGGAGCTCCGCTCCTTGCGTGAGCGGTTATTCGCCTGTCATCCAGAAATAGTTCCTTCGTTTGCTGGCCGTTCCCTGATTAGGTGCAATACGGGGAGCTGTAATCAGGGATTAGGGAAGTAACTTTCCATATGAAAGGGGTGCAGGTGCACCCCCGTCCCCCATCCACTAGAAGTGCACCCCCATAGGCTAAGCGGCGCCCCACACGCCGCCCCACACGATTAGCTCTAGAGCAGATGGCGAGGGTGATTTCTCGGCTACATTCCATCTCGGCGTCGTGATGCTTGTGGGCTTGGAAAGCGTCCAGTCGTATGTAGGGTAGTGTAGGGGTAGGGTTGAGTTCAATAAGGTCCTTACATTTGAAAGGTTTGAACAACCCGCAATCAGCACAACATACCACAAGTTAAATAAAAAACTACCAAACTCCGCCCAACTAATATTAATAAACATTACAGCCAAACTAATGGCCTAAATAAAAATATATCTCAAATCCTAACAGTTATCGCGGGTGATGGCGACATGAGTTGCTATTATCCAAAACAGATGCAAATAAACATGTTTGTATGTCCTATGTATGTTTGTTTTAAAAACGTTGCAGCGGCGCTGGGAACTGCAGTCTTAGATCTGGGTA